ATGAAAAAAAAAAAAAAAAGAAAAAAAACACCTTACACTTTATTTTAGCGATATAAAAATATATGTGCCTGAAAATATGGTGTATTTTATCAACGAGGTGGATCAAATAATTTAAAAATGCATTATTAGGTGGCATCTGCCTGGCATGCTGTGTGATATCAATGACATTTGCACACGGGGCCGGCAGTTACGTTTTCGTTCTCTTCGACAACTTCAGCGGAAACTTTCCTCTGCTCATCATCGCCTTCTTCGAGTGCATTGGGGTGTCCTACGTGTATGGAATAAAAAGGTATACTATTTAAAAAAAAAAACTACAAATTCTTTAATTAATCCATGCCCCAAAGCATGTACAGAAAAATAATATTGAAATTCGAGATATTTGGATGATACATTTTTTTCGACTGTATGGAAAAATAATTTTGCACTCGTAAACAATATGCAACATTTTAAATATCACAAAAAATAAAAAAAATATTTGATTTTGCTTCCTCGTTGAGAAAGTTTTGCTCGCACTCGAAAGATGAAATATTATGATAACATGATACAAATGTTTTGCGTAACGTTACAATGAAAGTATTTTAAGCTCCCGGAAGTGTCAGTCTGCATTTGTGTATGTGAGTGCGTGAATCCAAGCGTTTGGCTCTATTTTATATGCGTATATATATACTTTTATGTGTGTATTCTTTAGTGCTGGTAAAATTTGGCGAAAATGACCATCTAAAATTATCCTTCAAATAGAAAAAAAAAAAAAAAAATTTATAAAAATTAACAATTATTATTGATGAGAGACACGGATTAACTTTCTATTTTTCAATCAAGGTAGGAATTGTATTGTTAACATGCAACAAGGCCATTTGACAGTTGGAGTCTCAAAAGACAGTACGATGCAAAATAAAAAAATGTTGTAGGTTTGCCGATGACATCGAACTAATGACGGGTAACCGACCAGGCTTGTACTGGCTGATCTGCTGGAAGTACCTCAGTCCATTGGCAATGCTCAGTATTTTGGTAGCCTCGGTCATCGAGATAGTGGTCGATGGTAGCGGTTACCAGGCCTGGGTACCAAGCAAAGGCATCACCGAAAGGCACGAGTGGCCTTTCTGGGCACTGATGCTCATCGCCTTTCTCATTCTCGCCTCCATACTCTGGATTCCTGCGGTGGCCATTTGCAGGTATGTAATACCGTAGTTTAATCATGTTTAATAGTAAAAAAAAAAAAGAAAAAAAAAAATCATCAGGGTCCACTGACATACCGGTCGACCTAACGCCAAGCGACACCCCAACATCATGTTGAACCACATCGTCGGTCGTGCACTTTTTCAGTGGCTATACAATTTGTTCATCAAAACTACCTCAGTTCACCGATCATTTATTTAAATCGATCCGAATAATTGAAATGAGTATCGCGTGTCTTTTCATGCATTTGCGTAATTTTAATTCCCATGATCAATGGGTACACGTTTTTTGGCAATTTATCCAACGTTAGGCTGTACGGCATACCTATTTATTATACAGAAATTGGTACAAAATGAACAAGGAAAGGCTTAAAAACATGTTTGATCCTCGCGGCAGATTATTCAACATCCTGATAATCGAGGACAACGAGAAGGCCTGGTTCCCGGCGGCCGATCTCAAGGAGTTCCACGGCATAATGCCCCACGAGGTCACGGTCACCGAGAGCCTGCTCTTCTGCATCAGGGACGACGGCTCCGAAGGCCTGTGCTGTCCCACCGGTAGACCCGACGACGACGACGAGGAAGAAGACACCGATCTCACCTAAGAATCCGGAACCACTGGAACGCCGTTATTCGTCGATAGCGCACATCGCGGATTCTGCACCCGTTGATACTACTATATGCCGTCTTTGTTTTCTTACTCATGAAAAAAAAAAAAAAAAAAAAAAAAAACTGAACTGTCTTAACCCGTTGGAGGAGCCAAAAGGATACGAGCGCTGTGCACTTGAAGGTTTTTAATATATAAAAAAAAAAGAAGAAATAATGGGGTCGGAGTGGATGTGACGCGTTTTCTTTATGTTTACGGTCTCTCGTGTCATTGCAATATTACAATAACTTTGCGCAAGCCGTTGTGCGAGTAGTCCTCCAGGAAAAAAAATTATCGCCATGTTTGTTTCAAATAACGTAGAAGTATGTGCATCCATGAGGTTTCGAATGTTGCTGGTTAAAGTAACATTGCCACGAGAGTCAGCAACGACTTGATCTTCCAACACTCACTCGTCGCTGTATAGGTATTGGAGGGTGCTGGGGGTAAATGATATAATCTCACGGGAATAAATGCCACGAGTCCAGGCTGCTTGAAATAATTTCACATATCGTACATATCATGGTTTGACTTGGAAAATACACAAAATTAGGACACATTACTATACGTAACTCGCAAGCAGTACCTTGTTGTGTAGCAATAGGGTGACTTTTAGAAAATCACCATATGGTTGGGTGAAATTTAAATTTTTGAAAGAAAAAGCGAAATTCATAAATAGATGGAGTTTTCTAAACGAAATGAGCAAAAAAATAACTGAACAGAGTTGTACGTACGTGCCCATCAATCATAACTTCTAAGCTGTTTATCGATTTAATTACGCTTGTTGATCGTTACAATCATCGGCACTCGATCGATAGGTTGACTTTTTTTTTTTCATTGCAGCGACGCGACGCCTGCCTATTGTTGTTAGTAGTGCTGTGTTTTCAAATAATTATCATTCATCGAGACTCATTTTTAAGTAAAAATACGTACTTGCTCGAGAGTAAAAAAGCAAAAATAAGAATAAGAGATCGCAATAGTTTAGTGATTGTGTAAATAACCTGTGACGCAAGTCAATTAAACATATAGCCAAAGGTGGTGTAACGGTGTTAAAGAAAAAATGTATAGTTATGCCATTTTCACATCTCGTCAATATTACTTGTACAGATTAAAATTGAAAAAGGTATCACAGCTTTTCAATGAAATTTCTTGATGATCTAAATTTTTCAATTGATGAATTTCACTACTGATCTGGTGTTGTTAAAATAATCAATTAAATGACTTGTGATATTTATTTGTTATCGCAAACAAAGTGTCGCTCTTTCTCTCCCTCTGTCTCTCTTGATGGATTTTTTTTTTCCTCAACGTGATTGAGGAGACCTTCAGTTAATGTTTCTTAATTACATTTTTCAAACAAAATACAATATTATGAAACCCTTAATTGTTGTGCAATTTATCTTTAAAAGTTTTAGATATTGCAAAAGATATACATCTGTTACTGCACAACGTTTGAGAGAGTAAATATAGGAAACTAAAAAAAATCTATTACTCAACATGTCGTAATATACATAAATTATTGTACAAACAAATTATAACGCGTGTAAAAAAATGACCCTGACATTCTTTTTAGCCAACGTGCATAATACTTAGTGCTTTTAAATATTTAGATCTCATGCAAAATATTAATTAATTGCTGCAAGTTAGTTATTTTTAAATTAGGCTTATTTGCTCCATTATTTGTTTATAAGAATTTATAAGGACATCAGCTGATGAGCTCTTGTAGATATAACTTGTAAGTTAAAAATTGAGATTATATTTGAAGTTAAAAAGGTTATTTTTTAAATTGTTAATTAAAATGGTATGCGTAAAAAAAACAAGGTGTGCCATTTTTATCTGTAGGAAGCCGTCCACTGGACCCGTCAAAAAATTTTAAATATTGACTTTTTACGATTCATTTAAAAATATTTATATTACCATCGATACTATGGATATTTTTTTTACTTATACCATAAATACGTCTTTTATTTGAACAGAAAAATTTACGTAAAATTTTTCTATCAAGCTTATGAAGGTTTCTCAGTGTTGGGGGAAGGTGCTAGAGACTAGTTTGATTTTTAGTCACACAATTTATTAAACTTGTAATTAAAAAAATCAACAAACACATCTTAGTTGTGTAAAGCATTTTTATTTTGCATTATTGTGACATTTCGCCTATAACAGTCGACCTCGATAGAAAATATTAGTTATATTACTTCTCGTTTCTTAGGCCCTAAGGTCTTGAAACCGTAAAAGATATATATATATATATATATTTATTTACGAATATATTTATCTGTAGTTAAATTGTGAGAAAAATCCAACCGTTATTTCTTCAAGAAGAACCTTCAAGTGTGAAGAAAAATTTTCTGTCAATTGTTAAATTTTCGTTCCACTGCAAACATATATATGGTATAACGTGATACATAGTATTTAATACGCACTCAAATATTTATAAAAATTTACTTTCATCATTAACAATTTAGTTATTCGATGATTTAATATCAACGCACCAGAAAATCTTACAAAGTTTGAGAAGACTCAGGCAATGTTATTTCATTTCATTTTATAAAAATTAGCCGACTACAATAAATAATGAAAACACTAGGAAATTTGTAACTGAAAAATGAGAGAAAAAAAATAAGAAATCATTTTTAGAAAAATCAAAAAGAACTGATTGACCAGCGTAGTAGTGCAACCACGTTGAAAGTAAATATGTAGCGGTTTGTAGCATTGAGATTTTAACAAACGAGAAAATAATTACAACCAATGTCAAAAAAAAAAAAAAGAAACAATGCGTGTCATGTAGTTGGTAACATAATGGAGGGATAATTTCAAGAGCATGGATCGAAATACCAAATGAACAAGTAAACAGCACTAATGTCTTAAAATATTGTATCGATTTTTTCAACTAATTTTTTCCAACGGAATTTGTTTCGTATTTTAAAACAGAAAAAAATTACAATACATATCGAATCAATATCAAAATCTTAAGCTTTAAATTATTACTCATTATACATATCAACAAGACTATCAGATTAACATAACTATAATACATTTTTTATCACAGGTAATGCTATTGAACTACAAATTTACAATCCTGTTCATATTTTTTTTTATCCATTGTTTTTTTTTTTTTTTTTTATGAATTGACAAACAAAGACAATAAGATAAATTTATTGACAATAATATTGAGGAAAGAGATCAAGAGGTATATATACATGTTATATTCATTAGAATAAGAATGCAAGATTGAAAACTGACAATAATTAAAAGTAAATGAGTAATGTCTTATATCTGCACTTGCGTTGTATGAAAATACATATTCACAGAGGCCTACATTATAATTGAAGGTGTAAGGAAAAAGTAAATTATTGTTACGCACATGTATGTAGCGGATGGAGCTTGGAAGTGTGTACAGTAAATATTATTGACAATAATTGTTTTTCATGTTCAAATCACAAAAGTTTAAAATGAAAAAAAAAGAACAAAAACAAATTCATGCATTTAAAGCGATTGTCAATTAAAAAAAAAAATAAAGTGCATTTTACTATGTATTAAAGTGAAGCTGTGAATCACTTGAACGTTACGAAATAATTGTTAATATAATTGTTAAATTATCATTGCAATACTGATTGTTACTTCATGTAATATTCACTACAAAATATAACCATTTACTATCTGTCGTAGCAATAATAGTACAAATTTTAAGTACGTATGCACATAATATCAATTATCAACACATATTAATTTTTATATAGATTTATGATAATGTTTTTAATAATCTACGAGATTTTTAAGCTTTTGTTGGAATCTCTCAGCTTAAATTTTTACAAAGTACTAGTGATAACTATTTAATGTGACATCCCAAGCTCCTGAAACTCAAGAAGTCAAGAAGTGAGAATGAGATTTGAACATCGTGAGATATTTATGTCTAGAAAAAAGATCACATTGATTGTATTCTTTTGATAGACGAAAACTTGTAACGGACTGTTCTAGCAAATAATTAAATGTCATTGTGCACGTTATATAAAAAATTTAATAATGTACCTTTTGCATTTTTTATGTTCAAACATAATGCAAATCATAGTAACAAAATTGTGTTGTGTAATAAATATTTGTAAGTATATTTAAATTAAAGACTAAATTTGAAAATAATTTTTTTCTGATTACGATCATCAAAAATGTTTCTAAAACTAAGTATGATATTACAGTAAAATAGATAAATATAAAAATTATTTAAAATGTTAAAATAAATAAGCAAGTATTAATGAATTTNTTTATCACGATTTTTCTCCCTATGTAAAGTAAATATCCCACCAAGACAACCACTACGATAAATAATTTATTAATTATCAATATTTGCATGGTAACGCCTATTATGATAAAAATATATTCTGCCGACTCAATGAACATCGCTTGTAATTTTTCATCCACGGATCCCATGTCTTTAGAAAATCTATTGAGAATCCTTCCTGTGACATGTATTTTTATGAACATCATGTGAGGATTACGTTGATTGATGTTATGATTAAATAAATATATATAGTGCCACAATTACCAGAATCGTTTTCTTCGTAAAATTTCATTTTTGCTTCCATCAAGGAAGTTACCATACTATTGTGAAGCCTTTCATTGCATCTGTTTAAAACAACAGTAGATAAGGCTGTTTTTACAACAGACATAACAACAATGAACAGAGTGAAAGACGCAAGGACGTAAACAACAATTTCTGTAGGTAACCCTAGAGACTCTTTTGTAGTGGTATGTTGATGTAAGCTCGAAAAGTTGCTGCTGATGTTTGAACTTTCACGCGGAAGGACCGTTTGACATTTGTTCCTGTAAAGTAAAAAAGTGTTACATCTTATTCACGTATTTCATGAGATTTGAATTCATAAAAATGTTTTTATTATGATGATTAACGTAGTAATAATTTATTTCAAAAAACTTATAAATAATGATCTCACGATTTATGCATATAAATTTTCTAACAAACTGTGATTGCACTTATAACATGTCCATATCTGAAAATAGTGTTATATTTCCGAAGAGTTAACTTTTCTATCACTTAATGTTTCGCAGATGAAAAAAAACTCACGCAGTGTCTTTGCTTCTATGCTCTTGTTCTTAGATAGATTAATTTTTTTAAAGTCGATAAAAAAATTGTTATAAAATACACAAAATTTTTATCATAATGGTTCACGTTAAATTGTGAGAAAAATCCAACCGTTATTTCTTCAAGAAGAACCTTCAAGTGTGAAGAAAAATTTTCTGTCAATTGTTAAATTTTCGTTCCACTGCAAACATATATATGGTATAACGTGATACATAGTATTTAATACGCACTCAAATATTTATAAAAATTTACTTTCATCATTAACAATTTAGTTATTCGATGATTTAATATCAACGCACCAGAAAATCTTACAAAGTTTGAGAAGACTCAGGCAATGTTATTTCATTTCATTTTATAAAAATTAGCCGACTACAATAAATAATGAAAACACTAGGAAATTTGTAACTGAAAAATGAGAGAAAAAA